GCTAGCCTAGCTCTGTCCAAAAGTAATTAAATCTGCCTACTAGTACCTCTAAAGCTCACTAATTACTGGGATCAGATGCCAGGTAACCAGTGGAGACGGAAGAGAGTTACTCAACCAACAAATACTCCCTCATAAAACTGTGAATTGTTGATGAGCTAAGCTATGTTAACCAGCAGCCGGCTTGTAATTAACAGACAGACATAAGAGTGGCATCCAACTTGTCATCAAACTCTCTGCAAGAAGGCAAAAAAGTATTTCCCAGAATGTCTCCTTTAAAGGCTGATTATGATATATTTTAGTGTAAAAGTTTAAAAAACACAGTGACAGTATATAGAGTGACCTGAGGTAACTACAGTACACGTTGATGACCTTTAATAAAGACTTAAGCAGACAGGCAGAGTGGTTTGGCGGTCAGAGACAGTGTTTCATAATTACAGGTTCAATCTCCACAACAGTGATGTGTTCTGCTCAACATTCTCTGAGCGAGATACTGAAACCATCTCACTTGCACCTTTGGATAACAGCATCAGCTAAAAGCCTAAATGTAGGTGATTTATGTTTGAGTCACAGTTGGGTGATGTCTTGGAGGATACCTGCGGTTTTGAAGCAGAGATTTCAGCAGTCCTTCCCGGTCTCCAGGTCTGATCTCCTTCTTGTTAACCATCTCGTTGACCATCTTCTCAGCGATGCTGGCCAGGGTCCGCTCTTCACAGTCGAAAATCGTCACCCCTTGACAAAAGGAACAAGTTGGATATTCAGAGATGACCATAAAGAGGAGAGAAAACTACTAAAGTAAGATTAGTAATACCACGGTGGAGAAATACTCAGTTACAAGTAAATATCAAAATGTCAGGTACATGTAAAGCACAATATTTCTCTCATAAAGTAGTGCAGTAGAAGTATAACATTACATAAAAAATCTACTTAAGTGCAATACTTGACTAAATGTACTTTCCATCACAGAAAATGATTTCATGCTCATTTATTCATTGCTTTTCCTCACTGACCTGTGTTCATGGTGCGTCGGAGCTGGATGAGGCTCTTGAAGGTGAGGTAGGAGATGTGCGAGGACGCCCAAACCCCTGCCTGAGGGTCGAAGCTCTCCTCGTAGCCCCCCCATCGCCCCGTCTCCTGCCAGTAGGTCTGTTGCTTCTGGTCCTTCATTAGCTCCTTCAGCGCCACGTACCTCTGAAGGCACAGAGACAAAACAGAGGAAACACCAGCTGATATGGACATGCATGTAGGAAACAGGCACAAGCATGCTTGTGCCTGTGAGACCGAGAGTGAAAATTTGCACAGGACAGGTGGATAAAATAAACTCGCACCTCCCACAAGCACAGCTTAAGCATGTGGTGAACAACTGTGGTTTTACTGGCCACTTCCTACCTGTGAATGTGAGTCACTGTGAGTAAAGTATGGGAGCAAATCTCTGAATATTTGCTCTCTAACCTGAATAAGAGGGGAAATGTTAGTACAAATAGCTTTTATATTCTGTAAATTTAAGTTACTTTTGATTAGGTTGTTAGGGTTTTTGGTTGCTTTAATTGTTCCTCGTGTCTTATGAAAGTTACAGTCTTTTAGAACGAGTAAGAAGGAACTTGGTACTAAAAACACTGTAATTTTGATACTCGCTTGATCTTGCTGTTGAAGTCTCGTTTTAGCTTCAACTTAAGATGTCATTTTCAACTGTTTCAGTGTACAGAAGTGAGTGTTGTCTTGGAATTTTTTAAAATTATCCTTATAGTTGTCTCTAAATAATGAATAAAATTATAATATTAATTTCACATTGATAGTATAGCATTATGAATAAGATGAACCTACATGTATGATATGTGAAGAGAGCAATAGAGACATAATTTTGCATGGTGTCTGAGAGAAATATCCTCTCTTCAGAGCAGATAATATCACGTTCATGCTTCACTACTTTACAAAAACACTGATGATATTTTAGGTGTTGTTTTTCCACTGCAGCAGCCTGGAGTATGAAGAACATGAAGCAGCTGTCATTTATATTATGTTCTTGGCAGCACCTGTGTGGATGTGGATCAGGATAATGTGGAAAGGTGATGTCCAGGTGACACTTTGTGTCTATAACGTAAACACGGTATTTGTTCTGCCTCAACAACCAGCAGGCTCCAGGCTCTGGGCCACTGCTAGTTTCCGGTGTGGACATGACTTAAGGGCTCGACCTGGACATGTTTGGACTGTCAATACATGTCGTGTGCCTGGAGTGGATGAGTGTGTGTGTGCGTGTGTGCCCCTTACCTGACACTGTGCACCGGTGTTGGCGTTGGTGTTCCAGGCAGCTGGAACAGACACAATGGACACTGTTTTTCTATTTTTCAACACTGAGACATTCTTTCCAGTAACACAGTAAATAATATGAACTGAGAATATGTTCCCTATTTCATCTTCAAATTCACTTTCATACACATTTTACAGTTTGAATGACATTTGTGTGTTGGGTGTATTTCCCTAAAACTAATGAGGTTCTAACTTTGCTCATTCAAAACTTTGCTTGGAAGTTGAATTTTTTGCAAAAAAGACTTGAATGAAATGGGAAATATAGATTCCGGTTGTAGTTGGTGGATGACTTCAGTCTTATGTAAGATATCTCCAGAGTGTCCATTTTATCTCTGATTAGACCGGAGCACTGAAGTTGTCTATGACAACAGAATGATTTATTTCCAAAACACAGCGGAGCAAAGGGGTGGAAGATTCAGATTAGACCGATTGGATTCCGTCTATAGTCCATTTGTGTGTGTGTGTGTGT